TAGTGGCAGACAGACTATGTTTGAATCTGTGCTTTTACTATGAAGTACAGTAAAAGCTAAGCAAACCATTTCAGAACAGTGTTTAGCAGGTCAAAGAGCTATGCAGATGCAAGATATCCAGAGAATAGTATAAAAGTTAACGCCAAGTGGCAGTACCAAGAAAGTGAATTAGATCAACAGAAAAAAAAACCCCTGCTGATAACATTCACTATCACATGTACAGCTTGTAAGCTAGGAATAAATTAGCCTAAGGAGGAAAAAAAAATTCAAACTGTGTAAACAATCCACCCAGTACAAAACTGGATGCAGCCGGCAAGAGCAGAACTAGCTTAGTAGTGCTGAGGATGTGCGTGCATTCAGATGCCTGTTCAAAATGCATTTATCAATATCACTGACCACCCCCCCCAAAAAAAAAAACCAAAAAACACCACCTATAGCTATTTACACCACAGCAGAGGCTTCCCTCCCCCCTTACAAAGTTATTACAACTCGGGAAGTCACTGTTGTCTTCTACAACTAAAATTCCAGTTATAAGCTACCAATGTTTGTAAGTTGAAAACACCCACCTTGTAAATTAAATTGAAAACTCTTGTCAAGCATGTCTGAGGACTCTTCAAAAGTTAAGAGTACAGCACTTTCCTCAAGTGGTATTTGCATGAGTAACTTGTACTGACAGCCTGTTAAAATAAGTGAATTTAACAAAACTTGGGGTAGATGGGTATTCCTCCTCGGGAAGAGGGATCCAGATTCCAGTTGTTCTTGCTGAGGTGTGTTACAGGGAAAGAAGGACAAAAGAACCTTAGTTCAGTCAGCCTGGAGGTCAATCTGTCTGCTTCTAGAAGTATTCCTCCTCTTCATCAAAAAATCCATTTTCCAGGGCATACGAGCAGTCTGCATTAGAGTCAGCTTGGCAGGCACCTTTGTATTCTTGAATTGATTCATACAGAGAGTACAGCTGACACAGCAGTGACATATCCAGCTGCCGAAGGCCAACCTGAAGGGGGAAGAATTCAAACAAATAAACAAACAATCATTATTACAATTGTTTTTCCTACTGGCAGTGTAACGCTATATATCTTTTGTTGCTAAACAAGAGGTTCAAGCTTCTTTCCACCTTGAACAGTTATGAAATATGGAAGTAAAATTCATTTTCTAAGGTGACAGATGCCCCATGGGATAAACTGGACAAAAGAACAAAGAACAATGTGATGCAATAATGCAGAACATATGCAAAGCGTTCTTCAAAATGTTGCTGTATCACAACACCATGCTTATCTTCCAATAAGCAATTCCCTTCTATCAGCAGAATTACAGATAAACAAACAAAGTCTATATTCATCATTATGCAGGAGAGGTATTTTTCCAGAAATGCTTTGACACCATCTCTCTCTCACATATCACAGGCACTCTGTTTTAGTTTGAAATGGCCAGGAGTAGAAGTTTTAAATAGAACTCTGGTTTTCCACTTCCTGGTTAAATATTTCTACTCTAACTTTCTTTTCTCTATTGACATACATAGGCCAGGTATGTCTAGTGCAACACAGCACACTACTTGTAAGCAGCAAAACTAAAGCAAAAGTGAGACAAGGACATATGTTGTAGACTGCAAATCTTCAGAGTATTTTTCACATGCCACTGAAGCATAGGCTTGATTTACATTTAAGCACCTAATATTTTGGTCCTCAAACTTCTCAAGTATTAGTTCCACCGCCAATTAAACATTTGGAGCACCATGAAAAAAAATGGTTACCTTGTATCTTTATGTCAGCTACAAAACCAGTATGTTGCACTGCAAAGGGAAACAAAGCCAATCATTTAACTCAATGCAGTCTCGCTCTGTGGCAACAAAATGAGGAGTTCACTTGATACTGTCACCTATCCAAGTCAGGTCAAATTAAATCTAGGTTTTGTCTTGCAGTAAATTAAAGCCACTACCCAATTTAACATTTTCAAGAAACAGCCATTTCTGCCCATTTTTCAAGTGTTAAGCTGACAGTCTCTTCCTAGTGAGCCTCAGTTTCATCAAATAAGGTTTTTGCCACAACTCATGTTAAGAGGAGAAACAAATAATGTTAATAGCCTTTACTGCAGCCCGAACACCAGAATCTGTTTTATCCAGAATGATAATCTCTCAAAAATCTCTCCTTGAATGTCTAAATTCTAAGGACAGATACACTCAGTACACAAGAAAACCACAAGGAGCTCGCATGACGATCTTCCTTTGACATTGCTGAACTATCCTAACAGCTCCTTTTTATGAAGGTGGGAGGGGGAAAAAAAAATTCCCATACACCACAATGCCACTCCAACTCAGAAAAGGAGGATACAGCATCTTTCAGGAACAGCACAAATTACTTGGTGAGGTCATGAAGCCAAAATGTGAAATCCTGCACAGACTAACCATGAGGACTTCAGGACAGGACATGGAACACCCTGCTAGCTGCCAAGATGTTAAAGATAAGCCTTTCTACCACCTCAGATCTACACTATTTTTCTTACTCATCTTTATTTGCCTTTGTAACCTAAACAAACTGCTCACCTCAGGTAAGAAAGGATGCTGTGAAACTGGCCTTAACACTATGACATATGAACATGAGACCCACCAGACAGACTTGCCTCAGAGCTAAATGTTTGATGGACAAAACAGCAGTGAAGAACTGTTCACGGAGCAATTAGGAGTGAGTTGAGCCAAAAAAACTCAACCTGGAGACAGACAACCTTTGTCTCCCAGGAAAAATTGGAGCATTTCCACCAGCAGCATTCCTGTTTCAGCCCCATAAAGGACTTCAGCACTTTCTGTTAAGTTCAGTTCTACTGATTGCAAAGCACAAACTTCAAGGCAGAAATTGCTCAGCAGAATTAACATAACAGGCCTTAACACCAAATGGTTATGTTTAATATCTTATTTTTCTGTTGTTGCCACTAGCGTCAACGAAACAAGAAGTCCACTGAGAAAAATGTAGGCTTTAGCTCTTCACAGCTTTCAAGTGTGATCCCTGAGGTAGCAAAAGCCGGACAAAATTATAGCACTAGCCCAAAGTTTTTAACACCAACCAATTTGCATTCCTGAGTCACAGTCCTGAAGTGACCACTCCTTTCCTTCCCCTCTCTCCAAAGCATCCAAGTCCATCACTTTGTCAACTTAAAAACTTATACACACAGTTACTTGGTTGATCGTGCTGGAAAGATGCTGCTATGCATTTCTTCCTCATGAATTTAAAGCAAATTCGTTACTCAATAGAAATCCTATCTTTGACTGCTGCAAGAAAGTATGTTCAATATTAGTAAAAAAGTGCTATTACCTTCTTGATGAAAGGCAACATATTAGTACTCAGGAGTCTTTCTAATTTGTACAGGCCATAAAAAGTCTTGAAAGTCTTTGATGTGTTCAGAAGTAATTTTTTTCGTCAGAAGTGTTTTATCAAATTATCATCAAGGATAACAGAGTATTAAAGGGGACGTTTAAAGGGGAAGTCTAATTGTCAAGTGACTTTGAGAAGCATCTCATTTGATTTCCCATTAGGAAAAAAAATAGATTAGACTTTTATAATGAGTTATCTTTGCTTTTTTGGAAAGGTTTAAGACGACTAAGACCATATGTCCTCATTTCCCCCTACAGCACTGCAGAAGAAAGCCCCAGCAGTCGATACTAACCCGTCCTTCCTGAGCTTCAACGCAAACAGGCAATTCTAATACGCAGTTCTAAGAATTATCTCTAACCGTATTTAAACTACTTGTTGAAACACTGGTGGCAGACTAAGATCTCAGCATACTATACTGTCACTCTAAATCCACAAAAGGGACTTTCAACAGAGCTTCTTGTCTTCAAACACCATTTTAGCCTGAGAAAAACAGTTTTGAACCATGCAGATTTTCAGCAACATCATATTTCATATGCTTCACAGAATCACGGATTGTTAGGGTTGAAAGGGATGTCTGGAGATCATCTAGCCCAAGCCCCTGCCAAAGCAGGGTCACCTAGAGCAAGTGACACAGGAATGTGTCCAGATGGGTTTTGAATGTCTCCAGACAGGGAGAACCCATGACCTCCCTGGGCAGCCCCAATGTAAAGTTCTTCCTGATGCTAAGGTCAAACTTCTTATGCTTTAGTTTATGGGCATTGCTCCTCATCCTGTCACTGGGCACCACCGAGAAGAGTCTGGCACCATCCTCTTAACACACTCCTTTGAGATATTTATATGCATCATTGAGATCCCCTCTCAGTTTTCTCTGTTCTAGACCAAACAGGCCCAGCTCCCACACTCTTTTCTCATAAGAGAGATGCTCTAGCCCCCTGATCATCTCTGTGGCCCTCCGCTGGACCTTCTCCAGCAGCTCCTTGCCTTTCTTGTACTGATTCTTCAGAATCCTCAGCGCGCAAGGCATAGGCTATTATTAGTCATTACATCTGCAGCTTGCACCAACAAAGCACCAACACCCAATTAGTGTTTAATCAAAAGGTGTGCCAGGTCGCCTGGAAGAATTTCACTGTTAATAACGCCGCGCTGCAGGATCAAAACAGAGTCCTGAAGAAAACTACACCTAATCACAGCCACTCGGGCTGATCGAATCAGTGCCGAGACTTGGGGTTTTTTTGTTTTTGTTTTTGTTTTTTTTTTTAAACGATAGCCTTGTAGCGTGGATGCCAGATCCCGGTGGATGCCGGATACCGATGGGATGCCGGGTCCCGGTGTGTGCCGCGACAAGCGGCTCTCCATCTGCAGCCGGGGCGGCCCCACCGCCCCCGGCCCCGACCCCGTTTCGCGGCGCCCGCGGCGGCCGCCCGGGCTACGCGGGGCTGCCCCAGCCCACCGGGGCCGGGGCGCCCTTCCGGCCCCGGGGAGGTGGCGGCGCCCCCCGCCGCCGCTCGCCACGTCCGCCGCCGCCGCCACCGCCGCCCCGCCGAGACCCGCCCCGCTCACCATCTCCTTGCGGAGCAGGGCCAGCGCCGCGTCCAGGTTGGGAGGCTTGGGCGGGCGCGGCGAGCCCCGGCCGCCGCCGCTCAGCTCGTCCTGGATGCGGGACTTCTGCGCGTAGAGCCGCTCCAGGTCCCGCCAGCGCCCGCCCTGGCCGCCGCCGCCGCCCGAGGACGAGGAGTTGAGCAGCCCGCTCAGGCTCTTGGGCAGCGGCGGCAGCCCCGCGCCGCCCCCGGGCCCCAGCAGCCCCGGACCGCTCATGCTGCGGCGGCGGCCACCGACGGAAAGACCAGCCCCGGCCCCGCCGCGGGAGGCGCCGCCCGGAGCCCGCCCCGCCTCCGGGCCGGGCGGGGGCGGGGGAGCCGAGCGGGGCCGGCGGAGGGAGGGAGGGACGGAGCGGAGCGGGAGCGATGGGGGTCTCGGGACGCAGGTGGTCGGCGTGCTCGGGCTCCGGGCTTTAGGCTCGGGCTCGGCAGTCGCAGCGCGGTGGCTTTGTCTGGGCCGAGGCGAGTCCCTTCGGGCTGGTCCTCAGCCTGTGCCCCGCAGAAACACCCCCGCAGTGTCTGCCCCGGGGTCACGGGAGGCAGAAGGGCCCTGCGGGAGCTGGGCTGAGCCTCCGGGCTCGACCCCGGGGGCTGGGGGAGGGATGGAACGCAGTGAAAGCAAACATGAAAGCAGATTAACTGCTGCAGGCGGAGGGTGGCTATTTCTTCTGTGGCGGTGGTGTTACATCAGTTGCTTGATAACGCGAGAGTGCTCTCCCCTTCCGTCAAGGTGTTTCTTTCTGTCCTGTTTTGGGTTGGGATGGAGTTAATTCCCTCTCAGTAGCTGTTACAGTGCTGTGTTTTTCATTCAGAATGGGAGTGATGTTGATAACACACTGATGTTTTGGTTTTTGCTAAGTCGTGTTTATTCTACGTTAAGGATTTTGTGTGTGTGCGTCTGTTTGTGTATGTGTGTGTCTGTTTGTGTATGTGTGTGTCTCATGCTCTGCCAGTGACAAGGTACACAAAAGAAGTCGGGAGGGAGCATAGCCGGGACAGATGACCTGAGCTGGCCAAAGGGATATTCACCTTTGTTATTTTGTAATTTGTTTTCCATTATTAAACTGTTTTTATCTCAACCTACCAATTCTACTTCTGATTCTTATACCCATTCCACCGGGCTAGGGGGGAAGGAGAGTGGGGTTGAGTGAGCAGCTGCGCAGTGCCTAATTTCCAGCTGGGCTTGAACCGTGTCACCTTCACATCCCTGCAGCCAAGTTTTGTACCAAGTGTTTTATTTCCAAGCGCTACAGCTACTCAAACCTCGCTCTACCTGCTCCGTGAGTCAAATTTCTCAATCTGTGTTAGCTCACAGTCTGTGTTCCAGGTTTATTCACAGAACAGTTTATTGCTCTGCTATTAAGAAAATACCCAGCTGCTTTCCTAAGAAGCTGATGAAAACGGGAGTCGTGCTGCAGGAGTGGGGCGTGAGGGGGGCTGTGGCACAGGAGACCCCAAAACTGCCAGTGCAGCCACAGCTCTGTTACCACAGCAATACAATCCTCAATATGCCAACTCTGGTTTTGTGCCTTTTATGTTTCCACACTTTTTCCTTGACATATTTGTATCTCTGGAGTCTCTTGAAAAAATCAGGGCAGTTTTGGATTATTCAAAATTCAAACCAAAGCAGAGTATAAAATTGGAGTTCTGGGAATGTGCTGCCATTGCAAAGCCTGATTCTTTAAAGTTGCATTCCTATTGCCACGGCCCTGCTTTGTTTATGGGGTTTTCTCTTCAAGAAATTACCAGATATAGTGATTTTGAGTTAAGCCTCTACATATTTTCAGTTTTGTTCCTGGAATTGCATGACTTTTTCATGGTTTAAATGTCATCAGACTCAGTGACAATTGTTTTCAAACTGCTTACTGTGGAAGAAGCTTTTGCCAATCTTTGTTCATGTTTACACACCATTTAGGGATTGATTTTTCAGACAACCTGATGTGCTTTTTATTGCACTGGATTGAAGAAGACTTTTTTTCCCCCTGTTAGTCATGATGCCACTTCTGCCCAGGTTAATTGTGAAAAATAAAATTGCGCTGAAAGCTTTTTTGAAACTAAAGGCATTTTAAACCATCCCTATTGTAGATTAACAGTGTCAACAAACCCCTCATCCTTCCAGGCCAAGGGTGCCTGACTGCAAAAATACAGATTTGGTTTGCTAAGGAAGTAGGCACTGTATTATGTTCCTGCTTATTAGCAAATATATTTATTTGTTCCCCTTCCAATCCCCCCCATTTTTTTTCCACGATGACAGCTATTTGGAAAAGCTTGTGAGTATTCTTATTTTATCTAGACCATCTTATTTTTTTTTTAGTTTGCCTGATCTCATGAAATTCTGAGTGCGTTTTCTTCATATTTGGGTCTTTTAGGTGCTTTGTCGCCACATCTTTACTATTGCAGAAGTCTTTATGCTGTCTTACTGCTTAACTTTGTAATCTGAAAAATAAAAAAAAAAAAATACTTTGTGGGTTTTCAGTGACCCTTCTCTCACTTGGCTACATTATCTAGCCTTCATTCATATTAAATTCATAACTACTCTTTAAAATCTGAATCTACTGCTTTATTTAGTCTGACCTAGTTATAACATCGTGATAATGGAAGCTGGAGTCTTTTGCAGTTATGTCCTTTGGTTATGGAGTAAGGTTTGTTAGCTGTATAAACCTCTTGGCCTTTGTTGGTTCCTAGAATTGAATCACAGAAATGTGTTACTTGTCTAAACTGATCTTTGCTAAGGACATTACCTAAAAAAACCCTACATTAAAAATACATGTAGTTATGTCATAAAGAATTAGGAAGCAGCAGAAGAGCAGTGTTCCATACCATTTCTGTAAGGAAATGCATCATGTCATATTTTTAATTTACATGTTCATATGTGATGTTTTTCCTCATTCATTAGGAGGTTACACAATGCCTGTGTATCATTTGTGCATCATTTACTAACATTCCCCTTTTAAAATGTGGTGATCTATATGCATTATAGTGTACCTTGAACTGACACATTAAGACTGTTCCCTACAGCCTTTTCTCTGATGCTTTCGCTTCTCGTAACTGACTTATCCATAAATGTTAATGGAATTCTTCTTTATGACAGCACTGTGATAGAAGGTGGTATTGTTACCCACACTGGGACAAGGACAATGGAAAGCTAAAGGTAGGTCATGCTAAAAAAACATCTACTAATTTTGAGTGGCTGGTTCATTCCTAAGGATGATTTTTCCACTTGACACAACTGACAGAAGGACATGTGCTTCTGCTTCAAGCTACTCTGCACAGAGCAGCACCTTTGCTTAAAGCTACCTTCATTAGTGGTTTACAGTAAGACTCCAGATATTGCAGCAATTTTGTCAGCTGTGCATCAGGGATATCATAAGACTTGCTAAACAAGATACACCAGAGCTCATCTGTCTACGTCCTTTTTATGTTTGCAAGATGTCTCTCACTGGGTTAACTTAAAGTCATGATTGCTTGTCAAGGACGGGTCAGGATCCAGATATCACAAACTGAGCATAAGTAAGACAAATTAATAATTACTGACACATGCTTTACTCTTCCATTTGCTCCTCTAGTCAAAGTGCCTGAACATTCTGTTTCTCGTGAGGTCTATGGTTATAATCACTAATGTGGAGGAACAGAGATCAGGCTGTTCTGTGGCTCTCTAGGACTCATAGAATCATAAAATATCCTGAGTTTGAAGGGACCCACAAGGATCATCAAGTCTGATGTGAAACTCAACCCTTTGGCTAAAGAGAATTTAGAAGATGCTGACTTCAATTGGAACCTGATATATGACACCGTACAGTGGCATATCCAAACAGAAATCAGGTTTTCAGCTGAAGATCAGTCAGTTCTTAGGCATCATTTTTCATCAATTTTAAATAAAAATGGTCGAGTCCTAATTGTGGCACTATTTTTCTCCAGGTATATTTCCATATCAATGCCTAAAAGGTGAAACTCCAGTATATTCTAACACATATCACAGGGGCTCCCAGCTAGGTCCCTAGCAAAGTGGTATCCTTAGATCTAGAACAGAGATCCTCCTATTTAAGCTACCTGAGTAAACAGGAGCAGTAGTGGGCTCTTACCTTTTTTATGTCTGCTACCTCATAGATACCCAAAAAAGACACCTCAGCCTTTGCAGGGTTCAGAACAAACTGCTAGAAACACAGAAGTATGGAGATTTGGGGGTCGAGGCTTGAGTTTAAAGTTCTTGATGAAATGTATTCCTGTGGTTACAAACCCACTTGCTCTCCCAGCCTGTTGTTATTAACCTTGTCCTTGTCTTTGTGTCCTGGCATGGACCCTGTCCCAAAGCAATGTCCCCTACCTATGGCCTCTGATGCCATAGTTCCTATCCCTGCCTTTTCTCACTGCAGCTGCCACCCACACATGCTAGAGCTGTATGCCTCTGGAGAGGGACCCTGGACAAAGTAATCCCTGGAACTTTATACTCCCTCAGTCTGTGCACCTGCTCTTCATGCGCCTTTCACACGCCTCTTGGTCCAAATTTATGGTCTGGAGTCTTCTAACACTTCATTGGATTCTTTCTTCATGCTCATGTGGGCAGACCAATCATTTTTCTTATCTTGGGGCCCTCCAGGGTCTCAGCCCTTATCTGAAGATATCCAGTCTTTCTCTATTTACTCCTCTGCTTAGTCATTCATGTTAACAAAGGCAGTTCGTTTAGAGCTCATCTATGCTAATTTTTCCTCAGCTTCTCTGCCATATCTAATGCTGCCCTTTAGCCCTCTGCAATGAAGTCAAACTGCTAATTCTTCCTTTTTCATGAAGAAACAGAAAACCCCAAATTTTGACAGCAGGAGAGAAAGAGTCTAGGACATCGGGGGTAGGTATGACAGAAAAGTGATTAGGACTAGGCAAAGCAAGGGCAATAGATTCAGCAGGAATCAGAGGTTACACAGAGGGACTGATCTATAGAGTTAGTGTGTGTGAGTAACAGCTTCATCACTGATGGCATCTTCCAACCAGTAATAAGGCACATGCAGGGTGTTTTGGTTTTGTTTGTTTGTTTGGGTTTTTTTGGTTTGTTTTTGTTTGGTTGGGGTTTTTTTGCAAGTAGCAGCCACTCAAAGAAGAGCTCTGTTTCCTCTCTCCTTTTCTCAGTGAGCACGGTATGGATTTTTGAACTAATTTATGCCCAGCAATTAAAGCAGTGAGGAGTAGTATGGAAATCTGAAGAGCGTGTGCATGTGTCAAATAGGCAGTTACATGTCCATAATGACAAGTGATCTAATTCTCCTCTCTCACTATATTTTTTTTTACACCGCCATAAGGTGCAAGTGC